TTTCTAAACATAATAGTTTTAAACTGTAGAGTTAAATTTTCGACATCAAACCTCAAAAACGCAGAGATGAACATCCCATAATGCAGTGTTTCTCAACCATGTTCCTGGAGGATCAGCAGTTTTGCATGTTTTCCATGTATCCTTAACCAAACATACCTGATTCAGATCATCAGCTTGTTAGCAGAGACTGAAAGACCTGTAATGGGTGTGACAGACCAAAGAGACATCCAAAACATGCAGTGCTGGTGGTCTTCCGGGAATATGGTTGAGAAATACTGATGCAATTCACAACTGTAAATAAACGGAGCAGTTTAATCAAACTGTTATATAACAGATATTTTTATAGCATTAGTGTTTATTTAAAGACACACTGAGCAATTTTTGCAACATGTGCTTCAAACTACATTCTTATGAATCTGCAGTCTGATTTATTAGCCCTTTTATATATTATTTCCAGCAAATTGCTGATTAACAGAGATTTTTTTTCCAGCAAATTTCTAAACATAATAGTTTTAAACTGTAGAGTTGAATTTTCAACATCAAACCTCGACAGAGCAGAGATCAACATCTCATAATGCAGTGTTTCTCCACCACTTTTCCTGCAAACATGCAGTGCTGGTGGTCTTCCGGGAATATGGTTGAGAAACACTGATGCAATTCACAGCTGAAAATAAACAGAGAAGTTTAATTAAACTGTTAATTAACAGATATTTTTATAGCATTAATGTTATAACACTAAGTGATTTTTGCAATATGTGCTTCAATCTACATTCTTATGAATCTGCAGTCTGATTTATTAACCCTCCTCTATATTATTTCCAGCAAATTGCTGATTAACAGAGATTTTTTTTCCAGCACATTTCTAAACATAATAGTTTTAAACTGTAGAGTTGAGCTTTCGACATAAAACCTTGACAGAGCAGAGATCAACCGTGTTTCTCAACCACGTTCCTGGAGCACCACCAGTTCTGCACGTTGACCAAAGAGACATCCAAAACATGCAGTGCTGATGATCTTCCAGGAACATGGTTGAGAAACACTGGGCTAATGTCATTCACAACTGTAAATACATTTAGAAGTTTAATTAAACTGTTAATTAACAGATATTTTTATAGCATTAAAGTTTATTTAAATATACATTAAGGGATTTTTACAATATGTGCTTCAGACTACATTCTTATGAATCTGCAGTCTGTTTTATCAGCCCTCTATATTTTTCCCAGCAAATTTCTGATTAACAGAGTTTTTTTTTCCAGCAAATTTCTAACCATAATAGTTTTAAACTGTAGAGTTGAATTTTCAACATCAAAACTCGATGGAGCAGAGATCAACAGTGTTTCTCAGTGTTTCTTTTAATCATGACAAACTATATATTATTTGAAAGCTTAAAATGTCTATTTTTAATTTCTGGTGCCTTGTGTTTGATAGATATTACTGGGCTTATTACTGAGTTATTAAGTAATTTGTAACAAGGATGCTCATCAGAGTCATAAAAAATTACTTTGCTACAGCAATTAACGTGCTTAGATGTTTTTAGATGTTTTTTTAGACTCAAATACCAGCAAATAACTTAATGTCATGTTTACCATACAAATATTGTTAAAAGTATGAAAAAATACAGTGTATATTCCTTAAAACTTATTGCTTTAAAGGACTAATATTGACCTTAAAATGGTTTTAAAAAAATTCAATACTGCTTTTACTCTTGTCGAAATAAAACAAATAAGACTTTCTCCAGAAGAAAAAATATTATAGGAAATACTCTTAAAATTTCCTTGCTCTGTTAGACATCATTTGGGAAATATTTGAAAAAGAAAAAAAAATTCTAAGGAGGGCGAATAATTCTGACTTTAACTGTACTTAAAACCCTTAAACTGTCACCATCCCGCTTACATTTACATCAGTCTTTAGCAATTGAATCATAAACTAATCATGACAAACTATATATTATTTGAAAGCTTAATGTCTACAGTATTTTCCATTTCTGGTGCCTTGTGTTTGATAGATATGTCTGGGCTTATTACTTTGTTAGTATTAATTTGTAACAAGGATGCTCATCAGAGTCGTAAAAAATTACTTTGCTACAGCAATCAACGTGCTTAGATTTTTTTTAGACTCAAATACCACCAAATTACTTAATGTCATGTTTACCTTACAAATATTGTAACTGTTTACATCAGTCTTTTGCAATTAAATCCTAATCTAATCATGACAAACTATAAATCGAACATACAACTGCACTAAATGAAGGAAAATTAATAATCAAAACATAGGGAGTGCAGTTGTATGTTCGCTAATGGAAACTGGATGGTCATCTGGTGGTCATGTTTGGTATTGCTGCAAAACTAAATCCTAATGAAGTTCTTTTTTTTAACATTTCAGCTTCAAATTTGGAATATAATGTGGTCAGATATTTATCCCATGATGCAAAGCAAGAAAATTCCTGAATGGTTGTGAAGCCTCATCATAATCATAATAAATAGCAGATATAGTATGTCTGAATTCCCTTCCTACTACTCACATTCATACTATATAGAACGTACTTTTCTAACCGTTGTGTAGTAAATTCTCCATCTGTCGCTCTCCTCTTCTGCAGTCCAGTGCTGTGAAATGAGACTCAGCCCTTTTATAAAAGGCTTGTCAGAGATTGCGAGTTGGTTTTTTTTCTTTAAGCTGCATGAAATGACAGGAGGAGAGCGAACGCATGGCTGTGAATTATGGATTGTGAGTCTCGCGTCTCGAGGTTACAGCAACTCTTGATGTAAAAACTGCTGCCGTGGGAAACTCTTGAACCTGCTGAGGCATCAAATATAACGTGTATTGTGCATGCATATTATATCTGTACAGGCAGATTCACGTTCTCTGTCGGATGACCTCATCACTGACTTTAAACACAAACACGAGTCCCTCATAAAACAAATACCATCGTTTCTGTAGAAATATATGTTAGTTGTGCAATTACATTGGCAAAACAATGAATTCAAATTCATAAATGAATGTGGCATTTTCAGTTGGTTTATTTTTTATTGGCTTATAATTTGTGGTTTTATTGTCCAATTTATAAGAATATAACTGTACAGTTATATATAACTGTAATCTTAAGGATTAACAAGTATCTCAGGATTTAATTCTGGTAAAATATGAACTCATTAAAGTTATATACATGAGCTATAACACATGAGTGCGATATTTTGGCTCTGGTGGAAGGTGGAGACCACAGGCCGAGTACCTTAGTGTCCCATCAGTGCTGATATACACCCATATCGCGCTGCTAGAAGTGTGATATTGCATTTATACAACAGTTTGATGGCATAATCATGTATATAAAAAAGAAAATCTAACACAGTCTCAAAAATCCTTTTGTAAGAGGAACTACTTTCTTCCACCATTCATTCAATTTCATTCATTCATTGCCAAGTCACCAACATCACTTTAGAGCAGGGGTGTCCAAACTGTCTGCTTTCCCTCAGATTTTAGCTCCAACTTGCCTCAACACACCTGCAAGGATGTTTCTAGAAAGCCTTGTAAGAGCTTGATTAGCTAGCCCAGGTGTGTCTGATTGGGGTTGGAAATAAACTTTGCAGGACACCGGCCCTCCAGAACCGAGTTTGGACATGCCTGCTTTAGAGCTAGTTTTTGAAAGATTCTCTAGCGTAATGTCTAAAGTGACGACTAAACAGCTGATTTTGCTCACATCTTAAGATTATAAGTCTGAACAGCATGAAATGCCATCAGTCTACAGAGATTTCTCAGTATTTCCCTGTTGCAATCGGGAGATCACAATAATTAACCCCCAAAAAAGCCATTACAAAGCAAACACTTGCAGATTAATACAGTATAAATACAGCACTACAACATATAAAAGAGAGAGAACGACTAAGAATGTCACTTACCTCTTCTATAATGATTTGTTCAGCTATAGTTTTACATTTTTGCAGAGTTTTTCCTCCCCTAAACACTTATCATGCAGTCTGTCGCCATCTTGTGGCGGAACGTCAACCCTCTTTGCTCTTCTCAGTGACAGGCCGACGTGCTGAATCTTCGAAATTATAAATATTTAAATTAGGCACTGTTCTTATAAATAAATTGCATATTTGCAATCTAACCATTAAGAGCTGCAATATTTGTCGAACTGTAGTGAGTTTATTGATCTGCTGTCTCTCTATTTGGGCGGAGTAATACACAAGAGTTAGGAGGCTGTACGAGTGCTGATATTCAGCCAATCTGATTCAAGAAACAGACAGAACTGTCGTACTAATTGTAAACTGTTGCGTATATAAATTGTTATGTTGTTATATTATATTATTAATATAAAACTGACATGAATTAGAGTGTATGTGAAAATAATACAGTGTTTTGGTTTAAAAAAGTATTATCACTGGCTTCATTAGCTTGTAATAATAATTCAAAATAAAAAGTATTGATTATTGTTATTATTAATCTATTAAATTACAGAATACAAATAACAATGCAATGTCTGTTTTTGTATACGGTGTGCAGTTGTATGTCATGTGATGGTAACAAATGCTCAATATAGTACATCCGAATTCTATTCATACAACTCACATTCATTCATAGAGCGTACGTTTTTTTAACGGTTGTGTAGTAAATTTAAAATATGTAGTACCTACTCGAGTAGTAGGTGATTTCCAATGCAGCCTTGATTATGCACACTGTAGAGAGATACAAGACTCTGCAAAGACGAGGTGGATGGAGTATATATAGCGTATACAGTGTAATCTGCGTAAAATGATTCAGATTGATGTCAGCTGTGGTGTGCAAATCATAATGGGAAATGTAGTCCGGGATATGCAATCGTGACACTGAGTGCCGTGGCAGTCTTTCAACATGATTTCTTTTGTCATTTTTTTAAAGGTGTTGCACTTATGTTAAAAATAACAGCCACAGCTTTAGTTTGAAGAGTTTCAGTGGATGGTAAAATTGTGGCTGAAGTCAGACTTTACTGTGTTCACTCATCATTCTCTCTCTGTCTCTCATAGGTCTGTGCTTGAGCCCGAGTCTTCCTCCACTCTCAGTGATGGACTAAACCAGAGCAGTGTGTGTGTGTGTGTGTGTGTGTGAGAGTGTGTATGTGTGTGTGTCAGGAGCATGACTGTGAGGCAGTTGCTGCTCAACTCCCATTGAGAACACAAAAAGTAAGGAAACCTTCAGTCTTCATTTATACACATGCTATAAATTGAATTCGGTATCACTTTATTTTGATGGTCACTTTTGGACATTTAATTGACTAAATTACCTCACAACTACATGCGAGGTAGTGGCGCAGTAGGTAGGGCTGTCGCCTCACAGCAAGAAGATCGCTGGTTCGAAACTCTGCTCAGTTGGCGTTTCTGTGTGGAGTTTGCATGTTGTCCCTGCCTTCGCGTGGGTTTCCTCCGAGAGCTCCGGTTTCCAAAGACATGCGGTACAGGTGAATTGGGTAGGCTAAATTGTCCGTAGTGTATGAGTGTGTGTGTGAATGTGTGGATGTTTCCCAGAGATGGGTTGCGGCTGGAAGGGCATCCGCTGCGTAAAAACTTGCTGGATAAGTTGGCGGTTCATTCCGCTGTGGCGACCCCGGATTGATAAAGGGACTAAGCCGAAAAGAAAATGAATTCAATTCAATTCAGCTTTATTTGTATAGCGCTTTTACAATGTAGATTGTGTCAAAGCAGCTTCATATAAATGGTCATAGTAACTGGATCAGGGTAGTTCAGTTTTTAGTGTTTAAGTTCAGTTCAGTTTAGCTCAGTTCAGTGTGCTTTGAAGTCATTACTGAGAGTCCAAACACTGAAGAGCAAATTCATCGATGAGTAGCTTTTCAGATCCTGAACCATGCAAGCCAGAGGCGACAGCGGAGAGGGAAAAAAAAAACTTCACCAATAGGAGAGTGAAGAAAAAAAACCTTGAGAGAACCAGACTCAGTTCGGCATGACCATTTTAATTTCTCCGCTGGCCAAAAGTCTTGTGCAGAGCTGCAGTCTCAGGCTGGAAGCTGGCCTCAGCGAAGACTCGTCTGTCCCTGGAGCGTCACTGGAATCAGACTCATGTTCTCCACTTCCCATGACCAACAGCGCAGCAGCAGCTCAGGATACGGCCTGGTCCCGGATATGGACACCTTGGGATCATCTCGTCGCTGGTCTAGGATCCAATCAGTGACTCCGCATAATCTGAGGACCTCGGGATGAGTATCCCCAGGTGGAAATGGAGAATAAAGAGAATAATTAGCGTATGAATGAATGAATGAACATCACAACTACTTTCAAATATCAGTTTACACTAACCCTAAACTGCCGATCTACTCCTACCCTAATGCCCTAATGAGAATTAGTTGCCATATAGTTGCAATGTAACTTATAATCAACTAAATGTGTTAAAGGGAACACCAAATGAAAGTCATACCGCAAATTCGAAATGGAATTCTAACATTTAGATTTTTATCAGAATGTGCAGGTTTTAAATGTTGTTTGTATGTGTTTCAGTCACATCTAATAATGTAATGTGAAATAATTAAAAATCAAGACATGATCATATTTTATTTTGGTCAAATAAGTTTAATCTAGAGGCCTTTGCCTTTCATATAAGCCTCTTCTGATACCAAATGATCAACTAGAAGTCAAGGTATTATCTGTTGTTCATAAAACTTGGATCAGCGACAAGGCTTTTGTCAGGTAGTGACTATGAACACACATACAAGTCGTGTTAACTGGAATCAGAGATTTACGAATTGGGGAATATACTCTACAGGTTACTATTAATAATCAGGAATGAACATAGTATTCAGATGACTTTTTTGTCCAATTCCTTCCCTTGATGCATCATTAAGCATGCCTTGCTTCTGTCTTTTTCACTTGTTAGTGGAAAGTGAATTGTGTCTTTGCTGTGGGCCGCGTCAAATTCCTCTCATTTCTATGTCGTGTGTGTGTGTGTGTGTGTGTGTAAGCGACTGGCCGTCGTTTTGAGCCTCTGACACAGTCCTCTAAACAGTCCTCTGTTATTGCTGCTGGCTGTAGGTGTTTCTGTCCAGCGGGTACAGCAGGGTTCGCTCTGATCTCGCCCAGCATCAAAACAAAGACACATTTGACAAACAGGCCTTGAGCAGAATGTCACAGCCAACGTGACCCAGCGCGCAAATCCCACATACTGTCATCTCCGTGCGGAAACATCTCACCAGCCTGACCACTGCGACTCTCACACCACACTGCCATCAAAACACCCAACAGGTTATTCAGTTCCAGCGTTATGGACGTGACATCTGCAGTGAAAACTCAAAACAGAGACACAGAGAGTGGATTTGTTAACATTATATTGAAACTTCTGTTTATATTTTTACAAAACTACTAAACACAGAGTTACGGGATCAGAAAAATACCTATCCCAAGCTTATTCTGAGAACGTAGCCCCGCAGACGTTTCTGGAGACCGCGATTTACGTGACCGGAGGTACGGATGGCCTCATTTGTTTTTTTTGAGCGAACGTTACGGGGCGGTGTGACGCCGCTCCTCTTCTTCGCTCTCTCTCACCGGCTGCGACGGCTCACTCACCTCCGTGTGGAGGGCTTTCCTACAGCAACCAGTTTGTCCGCTTAGCTCGCAACGTTATGTCAGCGTAGTAGTGGTCCGGAGGAGGAGGAGCCGGCCGCGGCGAAGAGTCCGGGGAATAGCGGTTCCAGAAATCAGGTAAGATGAAAAACAGAATCCGAAAAATAAACGCAAACGAGTTTGTGACGGGGCAAGTATGCGGCAAAATCCGAAAACGCGGTCAAAATCGGACGAGGGCTTTTGCTTTTCTTTTCTGGATGGCTTTTGTCAACCGTCACTTGGGTTTAGGGAAGGAGGAGGAGGGTGGCCGGGCCAATCGGCTGGCCGCCCGGTCGATCGTTCAGTCTGTCAGTCGGACAGACGGTCGCTCGACAGCGGCCTCCGGCGGCTTTTCGATTGTAACAGCACGGGCGCGAATGGCACGCGCTCCTGAAAGGCGTTTGAGACGCGAAAAAGCGCGTATTCGCGAAAACAAAAACTGCACAAATATATATAAACTTTCTCAAACATATGCATGTGTGTATTATGTGTACTTTATAAATATACAGAGCACATACTGTATACATGATCTATATACAACACTTTATTTTGAATGTGATTAATATTTGTCGAGCGCCAGCTTTGGGTATTCTGTAATTAAACCATATTAGTGATTGTATTACTCATCAGAACTGATCTTCTGTACCGACTGCTCTCATCTGATGTGTGTGTTTGTGTGTTGTTTTGTCCAGATGCGAGTGTGAAGCTGCAGGTCAGGCAGCACAGCCACATGATCCCATGACTCTGGACATGGACGCGGTCCTGTCAGACTTTGTTCGGTCCACAGGGGCAGAACCGGGTCTGGCACGAGACCTGCTGGAAGGTAAGAGAGACCCCATCGGGACTTTGTTTCTGAATGTTAAAGTCCAGGTCAAATGATTTTTTAGGAAATAATGAAGCGCACTGACACATCATTTATCACAGTTGTAGAGAATTAAGCTCATACAATTATTAATATTCATAATTAATAATAACAGGTTATTATTGTACTAGAAACGTTAAATTGTAGACAAACTTTATGGTGTCTTGAGAGCCTTGTTTGGGTGTTCTGAATAGTTCTGAGCTTACGTGTTGCTAGGTGGTTGTTGCGGTGTTCTGAGTGGTTGCTGCTAAGGTGTTGCTAACGTGTTTTGGTTGCTAAGGCATTGCTAGGCAGTTGCTAAGTTGTTGCTAGGCAGTTGGTAGGGTGTTCCAGGTAGTTGCTAGGTGGTTGCAAGTTGTTGCTATGTGATTGCTAGTGTGTTCTGAGTAGTTGCTAAGGCATTGCTAGGGTGTTTTATGTGGTTGCTAAGATGTTGCTTGGTGGTTTCTAGGGTATTCTGAGTGGTTGCTAAAGTGTCGCTTGATGGTTGTTAAGATGTTGCTAGGCGGTTGCTAGGGTTTTCTGGGTGACTGCTAAGGCATTGCTAGGTTGTTGCTAGGCCATCGAATGTGTTGCTAGGTGGTTGCTAGACCATTGCCAAGGTGTTGCTAGGTGGCTGCTAAGATGTTGCTAGGTGGTTGCTAAGGTTTTGCTTGGTGGTTGCTAAGGTGTTGTGATTGGTTGCTTGGTAGTTTCTAAGGTGTTGCTAGGTAGTTGGTAAGGTGTTGCTATGTGTTTGCTAAGGCTATGCAAGGTGGTTGCTATGCCATCTAAGGTGTTGCTAGGTGGTTGCTAGGGTGTTCTGAGTGGTTGCTAGGTGGTTGCTAAGTTGTTGCTATGTGGTTGCTAGGCCATTGCTGAGGCCTTGCTAGGTGGTTGCTAGGCCATTGCTAAGGTGTTGCTTGGTGGTTGCTGAGGTTTTGCCAGGTGGTTGCTAAGGTGTTCTGATTGGTTGCTTGCTAGTTTCTAAGGTGTTTCTAGGCAGTTGGTAAGGTGTTGCTATGTGATTGCTAAGGCTATACTAGGTGATTGCTAGGCCATCCAAGGTGTTGCAAGGTGATTGCTATGGTGTTCTGAGTGGTTACTACGACAGGTTACTAAGGTTGCTAAGACATTGCTAGGAGGTTGCTAGGCCATTGCTAAGGCGTTGTTGGGTGGTTGCTATGCAATTGCTGAGGCATTGCTAGGTGGCTGCTAGGCCATTGCTAAGGTGTTGCTTGACAGTGGTAAGGTGTTGCTATGTGATTGCTAAGGTGTTGCTAGGCGGTTGCTAAGGTGTTCTAGGTCATTGCTAAGATGTTGCAAGGTAGTTGCTAAGGTGATCTGATTTGTTGCTAGGTGGTTGCTAGGAGGCTGCTAAGGGTGTTCTGAGTGGTTGCTAATGTGTTGCTTGGTGGTTACCAAGGTGTTGCTAGGTGATTGCTAAGGTGTTCTAGGTCGTTGCTTAGGTGTTACTAGGTGGGTGTTAGGGGAGCCTACAATTTATTTGTCTATTAATCCAAAGATCAATTAATTTTTTGGTCAGGAATAACAGTTTAATCTTACAACATTAACGGATTAGTACAACATCTTGCTTAATCTTTGAGTTCAAGTAACTTGTTCTGTGTGTAAAAACAAGCGATCCGCGTGGGCTCAAACGTTCAATGATGGTTCTGTAACAAAAAGGTTCAGACAACACATCTATTTCCTTCATTCGTTACACAGTACATGCTAATCATAAGAAGGGTAAATTTGCAGACTGTAATACCTGCTAGTGTACGTTTCAATTTGATTTAATCCATTTTCTTTATTCTGTGCACGTTTAGCTGCTATTGTCTGCTCAAACTGGCTAAATTGCTGAGCTCGACTACAGTGTTTCCCAACCCTGTTCCTAAAGACACACCAACAGTTCACATTTTCAACTTCTCCCTAACATAAGAAGATTCTCCAAAATCTGAAGTGAACGGGTCAGATAAGGAGGACATCCGAAATATGCACTGTTGGTGTGCCTCCAGGAACAGCGCTGGGAAATACTGCTCTACAATATTCCCCATTGCTCGGATCTCTTGGGTTTGGTTTGTGTGGCGTCTGTGTTGGCTTTCTTGCTGTCCCATGTGTGCTTACATCGAGTTTACGGCTCATTCGAGCGCAAAATGCCCCGTCAAACCTGCAGCGTCCCGAGCCGGAGTTTCGTTCATTCAGCTGGCTCGCTCGGCTTTAATGTGTGGATGTTGGTGTGGGTTTGGCGGGGGCAGATTTAGGGCCGCTGTGAAGGTTTTATGAGCGCCGTCCCTCAGGAGAGCTTTGTGTCCTTTGAGTGGAGCTCATTGAGGAGTGAAGGGCCACACAAGAGCCGTCTGTCCTGAAGAGACACACGGAGACCTGCAGGAAGAAAGATTACAGCGGGAGAGAAAGGACGAACGATAATGATGCATTGAGAAGAATGAAGGATGCGGCTGTTTTCCGGACTTATCTGGAAAACCTCACAGCATTACCGGAGCTACAGTTGAAGAACTATTTTCCAAATATTTCCCAAGTGATGTTTAACAGATTCAGGAATTTTTCACAGTATTTTCTACAATATTATTTCTTCTGGAGAAAGTCTAATTTGTTTTTTCACTAACTTCTCCTGGATAGCAAGATAAGGAGACGCTCTGAAATTCCTGCTCTCTGTCAAGGACACCTGTTGGACTCTACAGGCTTATACACACACACACACACATACACATACACAGCTACAGATAGGCAATCACTACCGATCCATTTTTATTTTTTATTTTTTGCCTCCCTCTCCTGAAATGTATCTTACTTCCTTTTTCTAAATCCTACTTCCTGTGACCTGTCTTCCCCTGAAAATGTTAATGTTTGTGTACGGTCGGGGGAAGCATGCGTCCTCTCCATCATCAGAACACTGGATTAGAGAGGTTCTACATTGCATCTATCTTGAGAAACTGAGACATTGTTTTAAAGGATCACTGAACTCCTTTAACAAAACATGGAGTCCCATACTGTCTGTCATTGAGAACCTTAACATTTCAGGACCTGCTGACTAGAATTTCGAAAGGGAGAAAGAGAGATTTTAGTGTTTACTTTACATTTTATTCTTCTGTATTTACCCATATATTTATTTTTATTTATTTATAATTAATTAATTAATTAATTATGAAGGAAGGAAGGAAGAAAGAAAAATAAATAAATAAATATATAAATATATAAATAAATAAATTAATTAATTAATTAATTAATTGATTAATTAATTATTATTTATTTATTTATTTACTTATTTATTTATTTATTTTTCTTTCCTTCCTTCCTTCCTTCCTTCCTTCCTTCGTTCGATCATTATTTTTTTCAGTTGGTTTATTATTTATTTATCTTTCTTGATTCATCTTTGCGTACTTATTGAAGCCCTCAAAAAATGGGGAGGGGTAGGAGATAGGAGGGATGGTGTATAGAAGGGGGATTTCATGTCATCTCTTTGCTAATAGGACTTCTATTTTTCACATACATTTATTAGTTTGTATATTATATGTGCAATAAAAATATTAAAAATAAAAAAATTAGTCTATCGGTTGAAGAATTTAACTTTTATGCCAATTAATGGGTTATTTTTGATTGCCTTTAATGCAAAATAACTGAACACAAACAGAGGAGGCTGAGAAAAACGCTCATTTAAGAAGAATTTTTCAGAAGGCACTGAGAAGAGGTTTTTGCATCTGAACTCACCTTATATACGTGTATATATATTTATACATGATGCAAGCACTCCTTTATATGCATTTCCTTAGATGAAGCAGTTTGCCGTTTAGCCTGATCCAGCATTTATTCTCCATAAATCACGTCATCAGAGTAAATGTACTGAAGCAGCTGTTTCAGATGTGGCATAAGCATTTCTACTATCTCCATGCTAATGTGCATTTACTGCTCCCTCGGAGGACTCTGTGTTAATAAGATGGCCGTAAAGGGCTTTTTGCAAAGATATTTCTTAGAAAAATAATCCAGAACCGGCACCTCTGTCTATAACAAAACCAGAGGACAGCACTCAGATCAGTGCTTTGAGTAAAATCTCTAACGCCGAGGCTTGTTGTTGGGAATTATCTGATTGGTTAATGCAGTTTTAATAGCTCCACCGCTGACATTTCACTCCAGCCAAAACAATCCCGCCGCTAACAAGCCGTAGTTCTGGATGAAAAGGCTCTGAAAGGCCTTCGGTGGTCTCAAATAAATGCCCCCTGCTGCATTCAAGCACAACAGACTTTACATCCAATACAGCTTGTGAGAAAGCCTCCAGTATGGAGCCAGATCCGTCTCAAATATAATACATTTACAAAATAAAATTTATACACAGTTCACGTACAAAATTTTACTCATACATTCAAAACACAGTTCATAAATACACAAATCTACCTAGTAAATTCAAAACACAACTCGTAAATACACAAATCCAATTCATAAATTCCAAACACAACTCGTAAAGGCACAAATCCAATTTGTAAATTCAAAACACAAGTCATAAATGTGCAAATCCAATTCCTAAGTTCCAAACACAATTTGTAAATTCGCAAATCCAATTCGTAAATTTAAAACACAATATGTACATAGACAAAACAATTCCTAAATACATAAAACACAATTCGTAAATACATAAAACACAATACGTACATACACAAAACACAATTCGTAAGTACACAAAACACAATACGTACATACACAAAACACAATTCGTAAATACACAAAACACAATTCGTAAATACACAAAACACAATTCTTAAATACACAAAACAAAATTCGTAAATACACATCACAATTCCTAAACTCAAAACACAATTCGTAAATATACAAAACACAATTTATAAATACACAAAACACAACTTTTAAATTCAAAACACAATTCATAAATACACAAAACACAATTCGTAAATTCAAATCACAATTTGTAATACACAACATGATTCGTAAATACACAAAACACGATTTGTAAT